CCTGCTTCTCCCTCTCCCACTCCCCCTGCTTGTGTTCCCTCTCTCGCTGTGTCTCTGTCAAATAAATAAATAAAATCTTAAAAAAAAAAAAAAAAGTCACATGTATTCCTTTCTTTGGGGCATGACCAAAATAGCGAGAAAGCCACCACTGTGAGCCTCGTCCAGCCAACTGGGCACAGTGGGACGGGTAATGCCGAGGGAGCTGTATGGAGGGGACCTGTATGCCCTTTTACTTCCTTTCCGCAGAAGACCCCACCCTCAGGCCCCTCCAGCCCCGCCTGTACCTGCACGATGCTGCTGATGACCATGGGGAGAATATTCAGGGGAAATCGGAGGATGTTGAACAAGGCCAAGGACACGAAAGCTTTCTGGGCATCCAGGATGTTGTTCTTGTCGATGGTCACGTAGACGGCAAAGGTAGACAGGGCCACCTGTAAGCAGAGCGTCCAGCACTGACTTGTGTCCCTGCATCAGACACAACCGTGGGAGCAGCTGCACGTCCCCCGCCGACCCTCCACAGTGTGTTCGAGCCTGCCCCACAACAGACGGCTGGAGGCCGCGGGAAACGCCTAAGGCAGTATCCAGCACACAGCAGATGCTCACTAAACACCCAAAGAACGAACCAGATAAATGAGCGGCCGGGAGCTCCAAGTCCTGGCCTCTGCACCAATATTCTCCAAGGTTGGTGCAGACACTGGACAGACATTCTGGGGATCCCTCAATACCACCCAGCGGAATCCCACCTCCGGGCCTTTGCCCCTGCAGTTTCTCTGCCTGAAACAACCTTCCCATCCGGACGGTGGCCTGGTTCCTCCCTCTGACCCTTCGGAGTGGCTGCCCTACCTCTCTACCCCAAACAACCCTGCTCTTGCTCTCTATCCTTTTATCCTGGCTTATTTTTCTTCACAGCAACTATCACGGCCTTTTACTGCCATACTGTACATATTGACTGTCTCTCTCCTGCAAACAACGGAAGCTCTGCAAAGGCAGGGACTTGGTTTTGTACACAGCAGTATCCTCAGGCCTCGAACAATCCCTGGCACATAGGAACACCTTGGGCAAGTTACCTCCTCTCCCCATGCCTCACATGTCTCATCCGTGAAATTTGGGGGTGGAGGTGGACGGTTAATGGCATTATTTAAAATTCCTTCCAGCTCACAGAATATATGATTTTATACCCCCAGGAAAGGAACATTAAAAGAAAAAAAAAAAACGGCAAGCAAAAACTAACAGGCAAAGGTACCGCCTTCCTCACCAAGTCAGACTTGCATTAAGCCCTGCAGTGGTTCCTGGGACTTAACTACGCAGGCTCCCAGCCGACCGGAATTTGGGTTCAGATGTTTGAGAGAGCAGCTCCTCTCCTCCCTTGCCAGGAGAAATGGAGGACACTCTCAGTAATCCAGGGCTGGGCTGCTCAGCTTGGGAGGAGGTAGGAGAGTAACAGGTGGATTCCTGTGCCTCTCCTATATTGCTGGGGACAGCAGGTGCAGGTGTCGCCAGGCGAGGCTAGTAACACACATCCCACAAGATCACCCAGAACATGCTATCAGAAGCAATCTGGACAACCCTGTACCCCGACAGATGCACACAAGTCCCCGCCCCCCCATTAGCCCCAGGATCCCAGAGTCATTAAAGGCTTCCCCTGCAGGAAAAAAAAAAAAAAAAAAACACAAAACTGCCCAAGTCCTGCCTTTCCGAGCTCAGAGCAGCATGTCCAGAAGTCAGGATATTGGTGTCTGAGCCCTGCCTTCGGTGTGGTGTGGCCCAGTGCATTTGCAGGGTCAGAGTCACCTCATTTCCTTGTTACCTACTGGAAGGTAACATAGCTTAAAAATTAAAACCAACAGCTCTGCCACATGTCAGCTCTATGACCCTGGGCACATCACCTCCCCTCTCCAAGCAAGCCTCTGCTTTCCTATCTACAAAATGCGAATCAGGATATACCTTCACAGGGCTGTTGGCAGCAAGAAATCAGGCACTCATGCAAAGTGCTTATTAGCACACTGCCCGGGGCACAGCAAAATGCAATATATAGCAGCTATCTTTATTTCTGGCTATAGGACTCAGTCCAAACTCCTTGGTCCATTCTTCCAAAGAATCTATTAACTGGGTCCCAAGACCAAGGCGCTGCGGAGTAGAGCTGGTTCCTTTCTGGTTCTGATGTTAACAAGCTGGATGACGCACCAGCCTCTCGTCTAAAGATGTTCTTACTCAGAACACCCTAAACACATCCACACAAAGGAACAGTATTCAGCCATAAAAAGGAGTGCAGCATGGACACCTGCTATGACATGGATGACCCTTGAAAACATGACGCTCAGTGAGAGAGAAGCCAGAACACACACAAAAAACCACGTATTGTGTGAGTCCGATTGATATGATACGTCCAGAACAGGCCAATCCACAGGGACAGAAAGCAGATGAGTGTGTGCCTAGGCTGGGGGAATGGGGAGTGACCATCAATGACTAGAAGGCTTCCTTTTGGGATGATGGGAATGTTCTGAAATTAGATAGTATTGATGGTTGCACAACCTTGTGAACATATTAAACACCACTGGGTTATACACCTTAAAATGGTAAATTATAGCTCAGTAAAAAGCGTAAGAACAAAAAACCCCACCTCTCTAAAGTCAGTCCATTTCACTTCGTACAGAAGTCAAAGTCTTGACCCCAGGCCCAGGGCCTACCTGGGTTGTAAAATCCCTTCCCTGTAACTTGCCTGACCTCCTCTCCTACCATTCTCCCCCCAGCTCCTTCTATTCCAGCCCCACCGGCCTCCACGGTTATTCCCTCTATAGGGCGGGCACTGTCCTGCCACAGGGTCTTTGCACATGCTCCTCCCGCTCCCTGATGGAAGCCCTCCCCTCCACTGGGCCTTTACTCAAGTGTCACCTCCTCAGTGAGGCCTTCATCTACCCTATTTAAAACTGCAAGCCCTCCCTAACACCGTGGCCCGAATCTTTTTTCTTTTCCCTAGCACTTACGACCATTTAGTATACTATATGGAGTATTTATCATGTCTACTGTGGATCACCTGTCTCTCCCAATTAGAATGAATGACCACTCCATGAGGCCACTGGATCGTGGCCAGATACTCAGTAAATAGTTGTGGATGGATGGATGGATGGATAGATGGACAGGTGAACAGATGGGTGGGTAGGGGCTGGATGTGCCTGGGGGCAGAAGAGCATACACTCAGAGGTGTCTCCTCAGCAGTGGGGAAAACCAGGCCTCAGGTAACTCGCCACCAGAGCACACCAGCCCCCCAAGCGCCATCATCAGGGCGGCGGCTGGCAACACAGAGCACGTGGCCCATCAGTTCCACAGCCCTGGCTTCTCCAGGAAGTGGAGGCCATTCTTCATCAAAGGTTAACGAGCACCTACTGTGTACCAGCACCGTGCACTGAGCAGTAAGGCAGGCTTGGTGTTCCTGAGACTCATGGTCTAGGGGAAACAGGTACTAAGTGAGTTCTCTTCAGCAGGGGGTATTTGGACATGGGTGGAGGTAAGTGGGGTCAGCCGAAAGACTGGGGCTGTAGGTAAGTGTGTGTGTGTGTGTGTGTGTGTGTGTGTGCGCGCGCGTGTATGTGTGTGTCATTCCCTCTGGAACACCTGGATCCAGCCATGCCTGAAATCCCAGTCATGCTCAAAACCAGCAATTTCCTACATTTTCAGTTTTGTGACTCAAAAATCCCACTTTCTTTTTTTTAATCTAGTCAATTTGAGTGAGGTTTCTGCCAATTGCAACACAGTTCCTGATTAACACAGTTTATTCAAATCTTTTACTCACTCAGTGATTCCCCTAGATTACATTTACTGAATGCGCACCATTTGCCAAGTTCCCTGTTCTAGGAATACCAAAAAAAAAAAAAAAAAGATAAGGTCCACGTATGATCTAATCAGCAGAGAAGTACACAATGGATATTTACCATATGGAATGATAATTCTCCTAACCAAGGAAGATAAGGGTAAGCAGAAGATGAGAAGCTCACAAATCTTCCAAGACTCAAAATGCTAAATATTGACGGCTGCCTGGGGATACTATTTTAGGAAAGTGCATTACGTGTACATGATAGATGCCAGGCTCTGTATTTCAGAAAAACAATCCCATTAATCCCGCCAAAATGGCATCCCCACTCTTGTCTGACCTCCCCGGGCCTCTGTCTTCCATCACACCTACCGGTGGGTAAACACCTCATCACCCTTGAAGCGCAGGAATTCGCCAGTGGAAAGAACATGCAAACACCTTTCAAGGGAATCAAAGGCTACATATTTTATCCTAATGTAGTCAGAGGCTTTGGTGTCTCGGCCAGGGCCGAGGTCCCCAAGTGGCACCCAGGCTCATCTGTTTCATGCCAAACAGCTTAACAAACTCCATCTCTGGAAGCCCGTTGCCCCTGCCCTCCCCTCCCCCCATACTGAGTGGCAAATTCAAGGTCAAGAAAAGCTGTCACGCTCTTAAGCATCTCTTGCCATGGCCTCCTAATGGAGACCAGGGCAGGAGATGTTAACTGAAGGGCCACACATTCAGGTGACAAGCTAGAAACTGGACACTTAGAGGACCCAATGTGCAGAGCCAGGGGTTATGGGAAAAGGTCCCCCCACCCCAAGTGTAATACAGCCCAAGTATTAAACCCTGTCACTTTGTCCCTCTGGCTACAGAGCTTTTCCTATCAAAAAAAATGCAATTCAAAATGCTTCGGACTTCTGTATGATTTGCCATCATGTGTGTCAAAGTAAATAAAACAGAACATAAGTTTAGTTACATTGATGATGGATGGTCACTGTTAGCTGCTGTATGTGCAGGCTTTCCCTGGAAATACGCAGAAGAAACTGGTACAGAGAGAGAAGCTAGGTGACAGAGGTCTGAGGACGAAGACAGACCTGCGGTTCTCAACTGGAGGGACACCTGGCAATGTCTGGAGACACTTCTGATTGTCCCAACTGGGGAGGCGTGGTGGGGGGCAGTGGGAAGAGGTGCCACTTGGCCTCCGTTGGGTTGAGTCCACAGAGTCTGCTGAACACCCTATAACGCACAGGACAGCAACCCCGCCAACAAAGAAACAAAGAATTATCGGGTCCCAAATGGCAACAGTGCCAAGGTTGAGAAACCCTGTCCTAGACTTTTTGGTATAGCTTTAACTAGTTTTACCATGGGAATGCATCATTTTTTTTTTTAAAGATTTTATTTATTTATTCATGAGAGATAGAGAGAGAGAGAGACAGAGGGAGAAGCAGGCTCCCCGCAGAGCGGAGAGCCCGATGCGGGACTCGATCCCAGGACCCTGGGATCATGACCTGAGCCGAAGGCAGACGCTTAACCGACTGAGCCACCCAGGTGTCCCAAGGGAATGCATCATTATTTTTAAAATAAAATGTATCACACATACAAAGGAGAATAGTTAACAGTTGTAAACACACTGAGATTATTTATTTATTTATTTTAAAAATTTTATTTATTTATTTATTTGAGAGAAAAAGAGAGAGACAGAGCAACAGCATGAGAGGGGAGAGGGTCAGAGGGAGAAGCAGGCTCCCCACTGAGCCGGGAGCCCGATGTGGGACTCAATCCCAGGACTCCGGGATCATGACCTGAGCCGAAGGCAGTTGCTTAACCAACTGAGCCACCCAGGCGCCCCACACTGAGATTATTTAACAGTTTAGAGGAAAATAATCAAATGAACACTCTACATAACTACCATCCAGTCTTCTGATACTTTTTACTTCTAAAAATCAAAGAAAGCCATCAGAGATCTGGGGAAAGTTGGGGAGACCAGAGTGTCCTCAGAGAATGAGCTGGCGGAACCTTCTAGCCCCGAACACTGGAGTATGTGACACGGAAAGGATCTAAGAGAACTCAGAGTCCCAGACCTGCTAAAAGATGTCACTTCATGTACCAGCTCCAGTCAGCTGACAGGGGTCACCGGGAGGGCGGCTTGAACAGAACTCGGTGGCAGAAAACCCACAGCAGGTTGTGGATGTCTAGTGCAGGCATGGGAGCAGGGGGCAGGCAGGGGCCTATGTGACACGCCCGTGGGCCAACCCTTCCATGTTCCATACATGAGAACCCAGAGGCAGGGAGGTGGACTGACCGGCCTCAGGTCACTCTGTGAGCTGGCAGCCAAGTTCAGCAGGCACCCGACTCTAAACCAGGCGTCCACACCTGTTTATGTCCAGCCCATAGGCTTAGAATACTTTTACATAAGTATTTTTTTTAAATATCAGTATTTTATGACACAGGAAGCTTATATGAAATTTAAATTTCAGTATCTATAGAGAAATTTTTACAGGAAAGTAGCTATACCCGTTCACGTGTACATTATGTACGGCCACACTGGCAGGAAAGAAGGGATGCAAAACAGAACGTATGGCCCAGAACGTCTACAATGTTCACTAGTTGGTCCTTGGGAGACAAAGTTCACTCACTTCTGCTTTTTGCCAGTGTTTCTCAAACACTTTAGAGGAAAGGGACAGACGGAAGGGAAGACAATATACTTTTCATCTGATGACTTTCTATATGGTTTCAATTTTTTTTTTACAACGAATGACAAGTATATGTTGAGCCCCTACTATGCACTATTTTAGGCACTGAGGGTATGGCAGTGAACAGAGAAGACAAAATCCTTGCCTTCCTGGAGCTGCCTTTCTAGTGGAAACAGACAGACAGAAAGTCCATTTCAGAATGTGTTTGGCACCTGCCAAATCCCTGGCTTGTGATGGTCGGCAACAGATCAGAAGCTGACACCGTAATGTCACTCCACTATGGCACCAAGAGCATAGTTTAGTTCTGCTGGTGTGTTTTTCTTACCAAGACTTCCTCCACGAAGGAAGCAGAGGGACCTGCTTAACCTTCTGGAACAAATTTCTTATCTCATTGTGAACCTATAAACAAGCAGTTCCTGGAACTGGCTACTTGTGAGAGCTACTAAGGTGAATAAAATAAAGTGGGGGGGGGGGTGGCCATTTTTCAAAAGAGAAGGCCTTGCTGAACTTGTGACCTTTTGAACATATTCAGGTATGAAAACACACCAAAACCGCCAATGAGGTAGGCAAGGGTGAATGTGGCTTCACTCACCAGGAAAGGTGTGCAGACCCAAGTGAAGGTTCCCACAGCCGCCAGGTAGGCCGATTTCTTGAGCACCTTCAGCTCCTCCTGCCTGATGGCCAGCACCTTGTCCTTGAAGGCCAGTTCCCAGGCGTAAAGCTTGAGCACTTTGATCCCATTGAGAATCTCATTCATCAGCTTAATCCGATTGTCTTTGCTCTTCATGTGTGCCACCTTCAGAGACAAGAGCAGTCAACACCACAGCGAGGGGGGGACCTGCTTCTGGCCCTGGCAGCAGGCCCACACACAGCATCCCCATTGGAAAGGGGGGCCTTCCAAAGGGTGGGACAGCTGACCCTGAAATCCCTGAGATTGACCTTGAGAGCACCAGAGACCCTTTCACCAAGAGAAAAAACCTGCTTTGGATCACGTTAAATGGGACGTGGAGACCCCTATTAAATTTAGATTTGAGAAGCAGAAACAAGAACAACCCTGCAGGTGTCCAGGGAAGGGGGGCAGGGACCCTACTCTACTGATCCAAACACAAGACAGGTATCAATGCTGGGGATTTTTTTGTTTTTTTTCTTCCCCGCTCTGTTTTCTTAGTTTCTTTACTGAGCCATACTGCCCGTTAAACAGCATCCAGCACTTTCCAGATGCCGAGCACTTTTCTAAGCATTGGACACACATCTAGCTACTTCATGCTCACAAGACCCTATCACTGAGGGCTCTGGTCATTCCTGGTCATGGATGAGGATGCTTTTTAAGTCCCGTCAGATCAAAGCCAGAGACTGATGATGTTTCAAAAGTGAGCCACTCAGGGAAGCCTACATAGCATCAGGAGGACGAAAGGTGACAGGGTCCCTTCACTGCCTAACCTCCTTCCACTTGTACCTGCTGAGGCCTCCTCATTCCAAGAGGCCCACGCCCTGGGACTCATCTCCCCTCCTGCATCCTCAGTGCAGCTAAGTGCTCTCATTTGCAATTCCACAGGCACATCATAAATAGCCAGCAACAGGGGAGCAGAGAAATAAACTCTGGCCCCGCTCCGTTATGGACTATTTGGTGCCAGTCCAAGAGCATGAAGTCAGATTATACGGAAAGATCCCTGAGACATAGTGTCAAATGATAAGACCAGGCTGCCAAATGGGCCCATGCGTATAAAAATGTACATGGTGGTAACACCACAAAGAAACAAACCTAACTGTAAAATCACATCTCTCTATAAATACACGGAAAGTTCTAAAAAGGTCTGCTTCAGCATGCTCACTGGCATGGAGACGATAGGGAAGGGGATATCCCCTTTTAATCTATACTCTTTTCTATCAACAGAACATGTTTTATGAGGAGAAGGCATGAGCTCTGGTACTTGGCTATTTAAAAACTTAAACAGTACAAAACACTTCTGAAAATAGTTGAACACTGCGCCTAGCAAAAGGTAAGAGGTGAAAAAAGTCAGGGAGTAATTTTTACTCAACTCTCGAAAATGCACAGGAAACACATAAATGACTGAATTCTGTGGGAAATAAGGAATTTCTCAGAGGCTCACAGATGTGATTTTGGTCACTGGCCTAGGAGGTCTAGCTATTTCAGGAACTCTCAACCTTGGCAGTCCATCGGACTCACCCAGGAAGCTTTAAAAACGGATGCCCAGACGAAGTGAACCAGAATCCCAGAAATGGAGCCCAGGTATCAGCATTTAGGAAAGCTTCTCAGGGATTTCCAACAGGCATGGAGGGCGGAGAACCTCCGGGGCCTGCGCAGAAAGAACTTAGCTAAAACCCAAATGGAAAGGCCCTGACAAGAGCCCAGTTTGGAGCCCTACGGAGACAGACACCTTACCTGGTAGGTCTTGGTCTTCATGGCCATCACGGCATTGAGGGGAACCATGAGGATCATCACAGCCACCCCGGCCAGGACGGATGGGCCCAGGTTCTAGGAAAGAAAGAGAACAGAGGCCTTCAACAGGAGGCTTCCCTGGCTGAGCCACCCCAGCTGATCCTGCAGACCTGGCCGCTCGTCTTCATGGCAGCTGTGTCACCCTTAGCCGGCGACGGGCTGTTAAGAATATTTGGATTTATTCGTGAGCATCTCTTGGGGTCCTACAACCCCTTTAAGAACACGAAGGGGCCAGGTGAGTTTCGGAAATTAGAACTTTAGAAAGGTGGGGCGCCTGGGTGGCTCAGTCAGTTGAGCCTCCAACTCTTGATTTCAGCTCAGGTCATGATCTCGGGGTCCTGGGATCGAGCCCCATGTGGGGCTCCCCACTCAGCAGGGAGTCTGCTTGTCTCCCTCTCCCTCTGCCCCTCGCCCTGCTCTCGTGCTTTCTTTCTCTGAAATAATTTTTTTTTTTTTTAAAAGAACTTCAGAAAAGTCATAAGGCATTGAATAGAAAAGAGTTAACACAGCCAGCCTGACAGTTTATCTTGTTTGAAGGCCTGCTTACAAATTTGGCCCTTGGCTGGCATCTGGGAGCTTGGATTTAGGGAGGGCTCCCACCATTCTCAGAACTGGTAGGAGTGGTTCATTGGGCCTCATCTCTTTGTATAAATGATATGGTTTATGCTGAACCCCCCCTTTGTCTTCTGGGAGTCTAGAAGTCTGGTATGTGCCAGGCAGAGGCTACCTGTGTCACCAACCCCCAATAAAAACCCTGGGCATTGGGTGTCTATCAAGCTTCCCTGGCTAACAACATTTCACACGCTGTCAGAACTTGTTGCTAGGGAATTAAGTGCATCCTGTATGAGTCCATTGGGAGAGGACTCTTGAAGTCTGTACCTGCTTCCCCCTGATCCCTCCCCACCGTGTCTTTACCCTTTGCTTTTCCTGCTGTCATAAATTAGAGCCATGAGTCCTCCTAGCAACTCATCAACCAGGCGTGGTCTTTGGGACCGCTGACAGAGATGTGGCCATATATTGCTTTACATGCCCCCTGGGGTCCTAGCACAGCACTCCATCATCAAAGGTACTGATTTCTCAGCACCAAAATAGGAGTATTCACACTGAGAAGATAATCAAGATCATAAATACTTCCCATTAGTTCAGGTCAGGTCAGGTTATGGCACCACGTGAGTTAAGGAAAACTTCCAGAGCTTTTGCATTTGGGGATTTGTAGATAAGAGGTTGTAGAAGTGTTCTATTATCCCAACTGCAGATAAGAAAACTACCCAAGAGAGGTTAAGAGGCCAAGATAAGATACAGATCTCCATCTTTTAATTTTGACACCTAAAAAGAGACACCTTGAAAAACTGGCCCAGGACATGTACCCAGCGGATACACATGGATGGAACTATAGGGTAATGTGATTTTTTTCTCCCCCTTTAAGCATTTGGAAAACCAGGAGTGCTCATCTCTTCCAAGTCATCACCCACAGGGGCACCAGTCCTAGTCTCCCGAAAAATGCTGCCATTGCTCATAATGGTTTCTGCGAAGTATCTCCACCCAGTGACGATTTATCCACCTTGGAAAATGAAGGAAATTTCTACCAACAATTTAAAGCATTCAGAATGAACTCTGAAAGCAAATAGTATTTAAAAGATACTTTAAATACGACACCATGTGCTGTTCTATGAACGTAACCTGCACTGCTTCACTCCTTCATCCCAACATCCCTATGATGAGAAGTACCATTACCACCACCAATTTGCTGATGAGGACACACTGAGACTTAGCGACATTAAGTGATACGGTCACAAACCTAATCAGTGGAAGAGGCAAGATTTGAACCCAGGCAGTCTCATCGCGGAGCCCACACCACTATCACTATCCTATACTGTGGTTTTGATGGTCACACAGAGAAATCCTATTTTCTATCCAAACCAGTGGTTCCCAAACAGGGAAGAACTGCTCCCGGGGGTCATTGGGCAATGTCTGGAGACATCCGGGTCACAACTGGCCAGGGGGAGGGAGGGTGGGGGTTGTGTTCTTGATATCAGTGTGAATAGACCGGGGACACTGCTAAACGTCCTGCAGTGCACAGGACAGCCCCCCAACAACAAAAAACTATCTGACTCCAAAAGTCAGTAATACACTCAGCAACCCTCATCTAAAACAAAACAATGTTCTTAATGGTTCATAAATCAACCCTGGAGGCCGATTCTAAAAGAAGTGTTCCAAAAATATTTCACCCGTGGCTGAAATTTCTGGGGAAGTGGATACCCCAGGATGTCAGCCCCAAAATACATTTAGATTCTGGTATTTATTTCTAAGTTTCATTTCTAGAAACAATTTATAATCACTCATCTTCTGCTGTATAAACAGACAAAAAAAAAAGTAAACTACAGTCAAATTAATGGATAATTTGCTGTGCACCTATTAAGTACCAGGCCCTGCTGGGACTACACTCATGAGAAATAAAAAATAAGGCAAATACAGGACACTAAGGGGCGCCTGGGTGGTTCAGTCAGTTAAGCGTCTTAACTTAGGTTTGGGTCATGATCCCGGGGTCCAGGGATCCAGTCCCGCATCTGGCTCCCTGTTCATCGGGGAGTCTGCTTGTCCCTCTCCCTCTGCCCCTCCCCCGCCACTCATGCTCGCTCTCTCTCTCAAATAAATACATAAAATCTCTGAAACAAAACAAAACAAAAAATCAAGAAACTAAGCCCATGAGTAACCAACACACTTATCAGGAGAGGAGGGGCAGCTATACTGAGCAGCAAAAAAGCTATTCTAGAAAGTAATGTCAGAGGAGCTCCTATACTGTATTATTGGGATTTAAAAAAGGAAGAAATCCATCTAATCAACAGGGAAAAGCAATTTGAATGTGGCAGTTGTCACAGCCTTTAAAGATGGGCAGGACTTCATCCTTAGCGAAGAAGGGAAAGGAATTCCTGGCAGAAAGAAAGACACAGGCAAAGGCTCAAAGGTGACAAAGGGTAAGTCATGTGTTAGGTCATGAGCACCTCATCAACTTTTCACTTTGGGAACTGCCCTTCCTCATGTGGAGGGGCTGTCAATCACAACTCCACACTTTCAATGTGGGAGGGCGTGTGACCTGGGCTGGCCAATCAGAGAACTCTGCCTCCTGGTTCACAGTGATTGGTACAGGGATGTGACTGGGACTGTGCCCGGTCAAGCAAAGGGCTCCGTGGGACTCTGGCTGAGGAAATGAGGAATGCAATATTCTCTTTTCTCTGACACTGCTCTCAGGAAAGAGGATAAAAGCCCAAAGGTATGGAAGCCACCAAGGAAAATCCCATTGAGAATAAAGTCACCTCAGAGGCAAATAGGGCCAAGAAATGATGAAAAGAGTGAGCTTGAGTCCTTAAAGCACTGCGTGAACTCCTGGATAAATCCATGCCTGAAACCATACCCTGTGCTCTGCAGTTATATACACCCGTAAAATTCCCTTTACTTGTTTAGACTATTTTTTTTAAGATTTTATTTATTTCACAGAGAGAGAAAGTCTGTGCACACGTGAGAGCACAAGCAGTGGGGAGGGGCAGAGGAAGAAGCAGACTCCCCGCTGAGCATGGAGCCCGATGCAGGGTTCTATCCCAGGACCCTGGGATCATGACCTGAGCCGAAGGCAGATGCTTAACCAACTGAGTCCCCAGGCACTCTGCTTATTAGACTATTTTAAAATGGATTTCTATCCCTTACAACTCAGAGAATCTTGACCAACACAGTTCGAGACTAGTGAATAAAGGAATCTGGCTGGTGTTTGAGAGGATAAGGTGGGAGAAATATGCTGTGTAAGTTATAAGATTGTTAATTATAAACACTGTCAAAAAAAGGACAAATGCAAACAAGTATCATGCCAGCAAAAAGAGCATAAATCCAACAACCAAGGAAACAGGAATTATCCAACAGACCACAAAATAAAATGTGATTGATGTCAAGAAAAAATAAACCCATGAATTACAGAGGTTCTTATCACCGACACCCACTCCCTCACCCCCACTGCCCACGTGAGGTGGTCCCTCCCTCTTGGAGATGGGAACGACGTCAAACACACACCAGCCACAGGAGGTAGAGAGCAAGGATGACTTGCAGAGGAGCCGACCAGATCATGTTAATGTACGTGGCCAGGTCCATGAACCTCTGGGCGTCCACAGACATGAGGTTGACAATCTCCCCGACGGTGGAGGATTTTCTGGCTGAGTTGGTGATCACCAAGGCCTGCAGGACAATGGCGAGAGAAAGTGTGGCGGTGAGTGTGGCAGGCAAGAGCCCTCCCTCCAGGCCCATGTGGAGGAAGAAGACAGCTCAAGAGCGGAAAGCCCACTCTCTTTTCTCCTGCCTTGCTGCCTTATCTGCATTCCCAGCTGATATGTCCCATCACAAAGCCCCAGCTCTTATCAATGACCCTCACTGTCTCATCCTGACTTCTGCAATATGGAAGGGACCCCAAGGCGCCTAAACCAGGGCTTCACACACTTTAGGGTGCACACACATCACCGGGGAAATCTGTTACAGTGTCATTTCAGATGTGGTAGGACTGGGGTGTGGGGCCTGGGACGATGCATTTTCTAACATGCTCCCACATGATACAGATGCTGCTGGTCCGCAGATCACACTCAAGCAGGAAGGTCAAGGTCAGGGTTTCTCAACCTTGGCATTACTGACATTTGAAGCTGGATACATCTTTGTGGGACTGGCCTGTGCCTTGCAGGGTGCTCCCTAGCATCCCCAGCCTCTACCCATTAGATGCCGCCACCTCCAGTTAGGACAACCAAAAACATCCCCTGGAAGGATAAAATTGCCCTGGTTCTCAAACACGGGTTTCACACGATTACCTAGGGAACTTAAGAAATAAAGGTGCCCAGGTCCCACCCTCAGAGATCCTGATTTTGTCCGTCTGCGGTGCAGCCTGGGCAGTGGGAGTTGCTGAAGTTCCCTAGGCGAGTCCAACTTACAGACAGGACTGAGGACCAAAGAACTGGCTCACCTGTCCTCACTATCTGCTAGGCAGTCTCGTCTCAACCCATCAGCTCAAGCAGTGTCTCTGCCCCAGAAGCTAAGAAACTGAAGGGACCCAGAAATTCCCATGGAGCTGGATGTGCACGAATGCCTGCTAAATACTCCCACTATCCAGGGAAAGGACCACCTGCTCAGCTCCAATGGAGAGTTAGAACAAGCTCAGGGTTATCAACAGCAGAGTGACCATGTGAACCCGGATTTTCCCAAGTCGAGTGCCACCTAAGAAACTCAGTTCCTTACGGCTGACACAGGCCTCAAGGAGATGCTTCACGTCGGCTTTGCTACGATCTCATGCCCGGTGGTCAATCCTTGCCAGCTACGGTCACGTGGGTCACCGTCCCACTACTGCTTCAGAAGCTGGGCTTGAAATCCTCAAGGTGGCCCCATAGTGGCCTAGCCAAGTCCCCACAGTTTCTGAGGCGACAGTGTGAGACGTCAACGTGAGCCCCTAGGCATCAGGCCCGGCCCTCACCAGCTTCCGGTTGACCCCCACCCACCTTCCGGTAGATGACACCCGCCTTCCGGTTGACCCCACCCGCCTTCCGGTTGACCCCCCCTACCTTCCGGTAGACGGCGCCGATGACGGCCGTCTTGATCCTCATGCCGCTGACGAAGCAGATGTGGAAGTACTGGTGCAGCACGAGGGTCTGGAGGCAGGCGCTGACGAATAGCAGCGCGGTGTAGAAGTAGCCCTGCCAGTCCGGGGCCTTCTGATCGTTCACGAAGTTGATGAGCAATCTGTGAGGGAGCAAGGACAGAAGGACGGGAGCCTGACGCACACGCGCAGGGAACAAGTCCTTCCATTTCCGCATTTCCATTCTCTCCGAGCCAGGCAAGGGGGGTGTTATTCCTTCCATTAAATGCATGGAAAAACAAGCCCACAGGGGTGATAGTACCGTGCAGGGTGCCTGAGCCTTAGGCTTCTCGTACTGACTGCTCTGGCCCATCACCAGTCACCCGCAGGTGACCAGAGAATGAGAGGCAAAGGTAGGAAGGCAAAGAGAAGGAGCATGTGGCCCCCAGGAGACAAAAAGAGGTAAACAGAGAGAGGACGGAGGGGACCTCCTTTGTGACTTTCTGTTTTCAGGCTGCAGTTTGATGCAGTCTGGCTCATTTTCTTGTTCTTGGTTTCCCTAGACATTCCTCTCTCTTCCTTCCTTCGGCTTCAGGGGAAGTTGGTTTGTTACCTGCAACCGAAGTGGCCTGAGTTCAGATGGTATCAAAGCAAAACATCAGGCAAAGCGCGTGAAGACAGAGAGGCTTGGCTTTAAGCCCATGGCGGGGCACACCGGGTGACCCGAAGTCAGAGGTTAGGAGTACTGCCAGTGGAAGGTCAAGGACACAAAGACTTGCCCAGCTGAGAGGGAAAGGGTCTTACTTTAAGATCTCTGGGCCAGCAAACATCATCAGGTCGTGTAGGGCCTTGAATAGGAAGCTCATGAGGAAGTAGGGCCCGAAGGTCTTGTATAACACCTTGAACAGAGACGGCTCCCGCTCCTTCTGGGGGGACTTGACAATCAAAACCTCAGCCTCCTCATTCACATCCACCTGCGAGCCCCCTTTCTGCTTGGCGGGGTCCTTGGAGGAGTACGCCATCTTTGCCTGCTGCCTGGAACAGAAAGAGTGTGGAGTGGTTGTGGGGTCTTCCGGAGACTCAGCCAGCTGGCCCGGGGAGAGGCCCAGAGCACCCCACCCCTCGGGGAGGCCGGCCAAAGAAAACCAGTCACTGCAGAGAGGCAGCTTAGCACACTACTTAGGAGCACAGACTCGGGACCTTGGCCGGCCAGCTGTGTGACTTTCAGGCAGGTTCCCTAACCAGCCCAGGTTCATCACCTGTTCAACGGGGATACAAGTAGGATCCAGCTCACAGGGCTGCTGTGAAGATTAAATGGGTTAATATTCACGAAGGGCATTGAAAAGCTCAAGGCCCACAATGATCTACAGATTCGATGCACTCTCTTCTCAGAATCCCAGCTGACTTTTTTATAGAAAATGACAAGCTGATTCTAAAATTCATACAGAAACTCAAGGGACCCAGGACAGCAAAAACAATCTTTAAAAAGAAAATCAAAGTTAGAGAATGTACACTTTCTGACAACCATAATCAAGATAGGCATAAGGAAAGGTAAGTGCGCACGTGCACACACACACACACACACACACACACACAATCAATGGAACCAGAAATAAACCTGATTGATTTCTGACAAGGGTGTCAAGACCGTTCAATGGGAAAATAATCTTTCTGGGGCGCCTGGGTGGCTCAGTTGGTTAAGCACCTGCCTTCACTTCAGATCATGACCCCAGGATCCTGGGATCGAGTCCCACATCGGACTCCTTGCTCAGCAGGAGCTTCTCCCTCTCCCTCTGCCCCTCCCCCCTACTCATGCGCTCTAATAAAATCTTTTAAAAAATTAAAAAAAAAAAAAGGACAATCTTTTCAACAAATGGTGCTGAGAAACCAGACAATGAAGTTGGACCCTATTTCATTCCATATACAAAAATTAACTCGAAATGGGTCAAAGACCTAAACACAGAATTACAACTACAAAATTCTTAGAAGGAAACAACTGAGGGGCACCTGGGTGGCTCAGTCGGTTAAGCATTCAACTCTTGATGTCGGCTCAGTTCATGATCTCGGGGTTGTGAGATCGAGCCCCACGTCAGGCTCCATGCTCAGCAGGGAGTTTGCGTGAGATTCTCTCTTTCCCTCTACCCCTCCCCCAGCTTGCACACATGCATGCGTACTCTCGCTCTCTCCCAAATAAACAAGTAAATAAGTAAGGAAAGGTGAAAAATCTTCATGACCTTGCATCTGACAAAAGATTCTGAAATATGTCACCAAAAGTACAAGCAATAGAAGAAAAAATAACATCACCTGGACTTTGTCAAAATAAAAAAATGTGTTTCAAAAGACAAAATCAGGAAGTGAAAAGACAACCCACAGAATGAGAGAAAATATTTGCAAATGAAATATCTGATAAGGGACTTGTAACCAGAGCATGTCAAGAACTCTTACCACACAATAAGGAAAAAAAAAGACCAATTTAAAAAGGGGCAAAGAAGATAGGCAAATGGCCATGAAATGTTGCTTGACATCATTCGTCATCAGGGAAACACAAACCAAAACCACAGTAAGGTATTATTTCACACCCACAAGGTGTTATCATCAAAAAGCAGATAATAACAAGTGTCTGCAAGGATGTGAGAAACTGGAGCCCTCACACTGGCCCCTATGCAGTCCCCTCCCACTCGGACGAGGATATAGCAGAAACAATGGAGTGCGTGCCACTTCCAAGATTAGGTCATAGAAAACACAGTGGCTTCTGTCTTGCCCTCTCTTGGGTCATTCCCTCTAGACAAAGCCAACAGCCATGTGAGGATGATACCGGAGGAGCCCCCATGATGAGATGTTGCCAGGAGCCAACCCTGACTTACTAGCCATGTGCAACCTGAAAGCAGGGCTTACAGCCCCAGTCGAGCCTTCAGATGATGCGGCCCCAGCTGACATGCTGAGTGCAACTTTAGGAGGTGCTGAGCCAGAACCACCCTGCTAGGCTGGATCCCTGACCCAGAGAAACTATGTGAGAGAGTAAATGTTCACTGTCATTTTCAGCTGCTAGGTTTCAGGTAATGGATTATACAACGGACATACCTCCTAGCTCTTGTCTCCCAAGTTAAAGTCAACATCTTCAAATGGCCGGACGTGGGCTCCACCACCAAAACACATGCTTCATCCTCACCTAACCAAACATTAGCAATTTACAGGATCCTTCCATGGCATAAGTATATTGAACAGCATTCAATTTCAGAAGGCTCTCCCTTGTCACGTCGATGCCACACACTTGACTATTTAAACCACCTGACACTTTCTCTTGCCAACCACAGCCTTCCAATCTGCCTCAGCTCACTCCCCAGCCTAGAAAAGGACCAGAAATATGGGAATCTCCTCCAGGCTCTGGGGTTGATCAGGTGTGTGTCCCATCCGTCCCAACCCAGGACATGTGTGGGCGTCCATCCACTCTGTCCATGTCCACAGCCTGTGACCCATGCAAATGACCACCACCAGGGCCTCCTCCCTGCTCCCTCATTTCCTCCCACTCTTGTTCCCTGACAGCCAAGCTCCTGCACAGCAGTCCGTGGGACCTTCCTAAAAACATCCCCCTACTTCAATTCATGGCTTCCCGCTGCATCCAGAAAAAAACCTAAACTCTGTGTGAAGTTGTATAACTTCCTATGTGTGCTGTAACAAATTACCACAAACAGTGGCTTAAAGCAACACAAATTTATTGTCTCAAAGTTTTGGGGGTCAGAAATCTGAAGGGGGCCCACAGGGTTACATTCCTTCTAATCTGTTTCCTGGTCTTTTCCAACTTCTAGAAGCCTCCTACATTCCCAGGCTTGTGGCCCCCTCCCTCCAATTAAAAGCCAGTTGCAGCTGCAGAGCACGCCCCGCCCCCCCTGACCTCCTGTCTCCTTTTACAAGGACCCAGTGATCATATCAGGCCCTTTGCCTTTGCGATATAAGGTTGTAGGGACCAAGACATGGACATCTTTGTGTGTGCATTATTCCACCAACCACATTGCCAATGTCACCGTGCACGATCTTCCCTACTCCCTTTAATGACCTGCCCTAAAGCTGCCCTTTTCTGACTGGGATTTTTAGTATAATTCCTTTTAGCACACACAGACCTCCTTGGCAAGGAAGAAAGAGGGCCAGGCGAAGAGGAAGGGAGTGGCTCAGCCCGCCCCGTCCATTCTCTGTACCACTTCCTAAGCCAGACCTGGCCCTGGGCCTGCGTGGGCTGCTGGTAACGCAGGGCTGTTTCCAGTGGCCAAGAGACAGGTGCCAAAGGGTCAGGGAGAAGGTCTCGGGCAAGCAGAGAGGAGGAAAGCTCAGGCCTGGGTGGACAAGGTCAAGGTCAAGAACGTTGAGAAGGATCAGCTAAGGCCAAGTCAAGAAAGAAAACTATCCCATGAACAAGAGGCCTACAAAGGAGGGAAGTGCTCCAGGAGGGGAGAGGAAGCAAGCCGGGCATCTGTAAGCTCTGGCTGGGAGGGGAAAGGAAAGTTGGAGGGAAAAAGTCTGAGTCAGGGGAAAACTGTCCAGAGCAAGGGAACAGAAAAGGGTAGGTAAGCTGAAGGCTGGGGAGAAAAAAGCCTTTCTGAGTAGATCAGATTCCAATGTGTGCAAAGATGCCCATCAGTCACTTGTCCACCAATGAACTAAACACATGTTCTGGGTCAAACTCTGGACAGAGCCCTACCATCACAGAGCCTCATGAGAGGAAAGGATTAGCAAACATGACTTTACCAGACTCTTACTGGTGCTATCATGAGGGCTTTCCCAGAGGAGGTGATATCAAAGCAGTACCCTGCAGGATGAGAGAATCAGGAGAAGGAAAGGGTGCTCCAGGCAGGGGGAACAGGATGAACAAGACCTGGAGCTAAGGATTGGAAATGAGGTTTGGCAGCCCTTTCTCGAACAGGCAAGAACCTCAGGGTAACCTGAACAGGACTGGGAGCAGACTGCAGGAGGCTTGAACCTACGAAAGAGCAGCAAAGCGCTACTGAGGACTCTGTCATTTGTCATGAAGGCTTTAGGAAAGGCCAAATCTCAAACTTAAAAAAGTCTTAGCACAACTGAAATTTCTACATTTCTGAATGTCGTCTGAGCATCATGGTCTTTGACCCATAATAAATATCCAATATAATAAGGAAGGGCAGACTTGACCTACAATCGCAGAAAATGGATTTTACAAACTTGGTGCACATTTTCACTCTGCTTAGAGCTAAGGATATACAGAATGATAGTTTCTGGAACCACAGAGGGAGTGGCAAGGGTCCCCCTCCCACCCCACCCTAGCCCTTGGGTAGCCCTGGCAGGATTTTAAACGTGTTGCTTATGAATGCAAATGATTCAAGCTTTCCCCCACTACCCTACCCTTTTCTCAAGTTTTTTTCAGTGCTTTCTGTTCCTCAAAAACAGAGCTTCTCAAAGGGGGTTGTTTTTTTTTTTTTTTTAAAGATTTTATTTATTTATTTGAGAGAGAGAGAATGAGAGACAGAGAGCATGAGAGGGAGGAGGGTCAGAGGGAGAAGCAGATTCCCTGCGGAGCAGGGAGCCCAATGTGGGACTCGATCCCGGGACTCCAGGATCATGACCTGAGCCGAAGGCAGTTGCTTAACCGACTGAGCCACCCAGGCGCCCAGGGGGTTGTTTTGTAAATGCCACATTCTCAGACTGTCAAGACTGTGTGACCTACAGAACTTCGGTCCCCCAAAAAAGAGCTCAACAAGAATCCGTGTAGGTTGAAAAACCTGCCTGAAATTACTCAGGTCTGGAATCTAACTCTGTTTTCAGACATAAATCCATAGTGTGTATTTTGTTGTTCTTGCAAGCTTCAATACATCTTGAATTTTTTTCAGGAATGCAACTATTATTGAAATGAAGGGGTGACTGCATTTCGTTCAGAACTTTGCTAAGCGTTGGCCACAACTCTGCAAAACCTCTTCTGTGAGGGCGACTGACCATGGTTCTGGAGATCTGGAGGGATTTGCAGCTGTCACAGGGAACCCTCCACTTTGGGACAAGCAGTGACTCTCCATTCTGTTCTCCCAGCGCGTGCCTGAGAATTTACTCACTGAAATACACGTTGTCTCATTACAAATCCCTTGTTTCCGTTTTCCCTTAAAGTCTAGTGAGAGCATTTTGTTAATTTTTAAAATTTTAGCTATATGGGTGGGCTATTTTTATTGATACATTATCTGAAAGTAACTGTATTGATGTCAGAAAATCTTTGTATTCAAGGCAACAGTGAGTCTGCAAGGTTCAGAACCACCGTTCAGCACGTGCATGCTGGCGCTTTGTGTTGTTTTTTGTTATTTTCTGTCTGCATTTCTTTACAAAAGAGAGACAAGTAAGCAAAAATGGCCACTCTGGGGGCGCCTGGGTGGCTCAGTCAGTTAAGCATCTGCCTTTGGCTCAGGTCATGAACCCAGAGTCCTGGGATGAAGCCCCCCATTGGGCTCCCTGCTCAGTGGGGAGCCTGCTTCTCCCTCTCCCCCTGCAGCTCCCCCTGCTTGTTCTGTCAAATGAATAAAATCTTTAAAAAAAAAAAAAAGTCACCCCTTCTTTAAGCACATTTTCTGACACACACACACACACACACACACACACAGAGCCTTATTGAGGTATAACTGATGTATGCTCAATTGCACATATAGGGAATGTACGAATTGATGAGTTTTGACCTATATGGATACACACACCTGTAAAACTGCCCACAAAATCAAGATGGTAAACATATCCACCCTCCCTGCCCCCCTCCCACAAGGCCCGCCAGGGCCCCTCGGTAACATGAAATCTGCTGAATGAATCAGTTAAGGGCCAGGCCGGGGATAGACAGGGCTTCTTGTTCTCCCTCCCACCTGCAGGCTGTTCCCTAGCTAAGTGAAGAGGCCTGGCCACAAGGGGTCACACCAAGAAATCCCAGCTGAAAACAGGACTTTCCCTTTGCCCACCACGTCCACAGGATTTACAGGTGCCAGATCTGGTTTGGGACTCTGGAGACAGAGCGAAGGACCCATCTGCCAGTGACCCAAGGCAGTGAACCCCCAAGCTGAGAACCCCTAAAGGCAGAGGTATTGAGAGAGCCAGTGCCTCTAGGGGTGGCCCATGTTGGAGCCCGAGGAGTTAGGGCTCACCCCGTCCTCCCAGGCAAGATGGGAACGCCCAGCCTGGTTCCGCATCCAGATGAATCAACACAACTTGTATGGTATTACCTGCCCAGGGTTTACCCAGGACCATGACAGGGCTTCTCAGATGATGTTTATCTCAGTGAATTGTCAGAAAACCCTCTGAGCAGAAAACAGAGGCTCTGGGGCATTAAGGGACCCGAGGGACAGCCCCTAAGGCCCCCACCCTGGTCTCCCTGCCCCCCCCTCACTTTCCCCAGGGCAGCCCCGCTGGTTATAAAACAAAACTCAGGACATGCCACTGGCCTGCATAAAACCCACCTCTGACTTCTCACTGCACTTAGGATCAAACCTGAATTCACTAGCATGGCCGATGAGACCCCTGCAAATGCTTCTCCTACCTTACCTCCTTCCATTCTGCCCCTCACACACTCCACTCGGGCCACGCTGCCCACCCCCACCCCCCACCCCCGCCTTCTCCATAAGCACGCTGGACTCACCTCTACCTCAGGATCTTTGCATGAGCTGTCCCCTCTAACCATAAAGCCCTTCCTACACATGCGGCTCATTACCTCCTTCAATACGAACTTTTGCTCCAGTGTCACCTTCTGAGAGGCCATCCCCAACCACAGCTTCTCTATCAGCTTCCTCAGCCACTCCTGTCCCACCTCCCTGCTATAATCTCCTAAAACCTAACACTCTCCAAAACTTTCCCCGTCAGCGTATGTTCGACTGCTGTCCTGTCTGTCTCCTATATGGAATGTAAGGTGGCCCCCAACAAGGAGCCTATTTGGTGCCACTTTCTGAACGCAGAGGGCCTGAACAGACCACACAGTAGCAGGAGACATGAAATCTGCTGAATGAATCAGTTAAGGGCCAGGCCAGGGATAGACAGGGCTTCTTGTTCAAGCCTGGTCCTCCTTCCATGGAGCCTCCGGGGCAACCTCTCCCACACCATCTGCAGCAACCTGCTCATCAAGAAGGATGCCACCGGCCAGGCTGGGAATAGAACCAGGGAGCCGCCTCTGCCTGAGAACCTCCAACTGGGTCATGGGGACAAGATTCAGGTGGAGCTCTATGTGCACAGAACACCGCCCATCTCATGATGCCCGCCTACAGAGCCTTACATTCAACCTGCCTCCCCTAAGACAACGTCTCCTGTGTCTGTGGCCACCCCGAATGGGCCACCAGCTCAGCATCACAAGGGCCTCTGCTGGTGTTCTAGTAGCCAACAGTACGAATGTCCCCAGTTCCCACCCCCCAAGCCACGCCTGATCGAAGAGCTATAACCTGGGTGTTCTGGCAACTGGACCTCAAGTCCAAGGTTTTTCTCCTGGAAGGACAACTGCTCTGTGGGAGATCCAACACACCAGGCTGGCCCCACTGGCAGCCAGTGCTAAGAGGTCAACAACAGGCCCACCCCATAAAACCGCAGGAGTAATGACAGCCACTTTTGGTTCTGCTCCTACTACCACCCTCTACCGTCCCCACGTCACTCACAAGTTCTCAACTGCCTCCTCTGGACACAGGACACACGCCAAGTCCAATGACCTACCCTCCTGTAACAGCCACTTTACTTTCTTACCAGCACGTAATACAACGCTGTTTCATGTAACTGAGGACGTCTTAGATTTGATGAAATCAAGTATGTGCTGCGGAGGCCCCGGCCTAATTCCCAAAACAACCTGATGACAGACGTCACGTGATGGCACGTAGCTAACAATGGGAGGAGTGTCTACAACACAGGATACCAGGGCGCCTGGGTGGCTGTCGGTGAAGCGTCTGCCTTCAGCTCAGGTCATGATCCTGGGGTCTTGGGACCGAGCCCCACATCGGGCTCCCTGCTCCGCGGGGAGCCTGCTTCTCCCTCTGCCTGCGGCTCCCCCTGCTTGTGCACATACTCTAATAAATAAATAAATAAAACATCTTAAAAAAAGATACATAAATAAAATTCAGGACACCAAATGTGAGCCATAATGCAAACTATGGGCTCGGGGGTGATCATAATGCATCAGCGTAGGTTCATCACTTCTGACAAACGTCCCTTTCTGCTGGGGGACACTGATAATGAAGGAGGCGATGCACGTGTGGAGGAAGGGGGTACACAGAACTCTCTGTACTTTCTGCTCTAAAAACTAGAGTCTATTTTATTTTTAAATCCAGCACAGTCAAAACACCCTTGGTGGGGGATTCTTTGGCAGAACACTTGCTGAAGTGATGGGCTTGGTATGTTGAAGCCAAAACACTGAGAAGAGCAAGAACTCAGGATGCCAGACACTCTCCGTGAGACAGGCAAGGTGGCGCTGTCTCGGGCAGGGCGGGGTCGCGCGCCCCAGGCACGCACTTGCCAAGGGCCCAAGCAAACGGCGTCAATAGCCTCTCGCTGCACATCTTTTGCTCTTCTTGTCTATCCACTGCCTTAGCTACATGGAAGACTCTTCCTGGATCTCGCAGATGAGCCAACCGTGGCTGGGAAGAGCGAAGCAGCTCGCCCAGGACCATGAAGCTGATAAGAGGTGACGCTGCCACCATTCCCTGGTGGCAGGAAAGGGGTGACCACGTGGTCTTAGAGAGCGCCCGGCTCTCCCCGGTGGCAAGAGGCTCACACTTACCTTTTGGATTTGGCACACTCCTTCTTCCAGTTCTTCACCAAAACGGGCACAACTTGTTCTGATGTGTCCTCCTTGTTCAGGGACCAGAGGTCAGTGCTCTCCAGGGGCTGGCGGTAGCCCCGGACCATCAGCCTGGGGTCAAAAGGGCAGGGGGAGGAGATGAGAGTCGGGAGGAAGAGGACGACAACCCTCGCCGCCCACACCCGCCACCACGATGGCAGCACGCACTTGGGAAAATCGCAATACGCGTGGGACATTTGGGCACATTACGTCACCGCTGCTAATTCTGTTACGTCGCCCAGGAAGCACAGCTTCATTTTTTAAAGACACAGAATATTCAGGATACAGCTTTTACAATGGCTCCCATTTACTTTAAAAAAAAACTGTTTTTAAGACTCAGGGGCAAAGCATTAATCATTGTCAAATCTGAGTGATAAGTTCATTAAGCTTGATCAGACTAGTCTTCCTACGTGTTTGGACACTTTCGTAATAGAGAGTAAACCTATCATTTTAACTTGTTGTTTTGAAATAATACCAAACGTACAGAAAAATCACATGCATTGCACAAAGAATTCCTACCTCCCCCAGCTCACCGCTGCTAACATTTTGCCACATCTGCTGTGCTATTCTCTGTCTCTAACTATCAACATACACACATAGACTTTTTTTCTGAACCGCGTCAGAGCAGGCTGTAGACTCGACACACCTGCACCCCTCAACGTTAGTGTGAATCCCCCTAAAAAAGGGGCATGCTTTCACAGAAGCCAGAGAGCGATTCATCAAAAATCAGAAATAGGAGCAAGGATGACATGACCTGCGGACCACACTCAAACTACCCCAACCGTCCCAGAGATATTCCTTAACTGTTAATTTGAACAATATTTAAAAAAAAAAAAAAAGATGTCTGCGCAAAGTTTATAAAGACAAGGAACCGTGTTTATGGGGGGGAAAAGGATTCATATAATCCTGGGTAAGATGCTGACCATGTGCAGAAAGAAATGTGCAGGCAAAACGGACAAGAAGAGAGCTTAAAGTGAGTGTTGCCTCAGGTGTTTTTGATTGTGGATCTATGCATGTTTCTCTTACCCACATTTCTTATGGGTCACGGGTATTATTTTTCTAATGGCAATTTCATTTCTCTGAAACAATGCCAACAACCGTAATTACACCTGATGTCAAAAACAAACAAACAAACAAAAAACCCAAATCCAAAAACCAAGAGCGCACGGTTTCTAAGTGCCCCGGGTGAAGGCGTGCACAGAGGTGCAAGCCGTCTGTGGTTCACACGTCGAGTCCGTGCACGCGGGCACAGGGTCGGTGTCTGAGCCCCGGGCCCAGGGCAGCCACGCTCAGCACACGGGTGAGGGGTGACAGAGGGACAGCGGGCCCGAGGCACCGGCCTGGCCTTACCCTGTGATCCACCAGAAGGTGACTCTGGAAAGGAAGGAGGCGCTGGATTCCGGGCAGGGATTCTGGTGGAGAGAACACAGAGGGTGGGAGCAAACAGGAAATGATTGATTAAACTTCTCATCTAGGCCGGCGCTCGGGCAACAAGCAGCTGAGCAGAGCGGTCTTACCCTCCAAAGGACCAGTAGCCACCGCACGCCAATGACTCACCCCAGAAGGGTTTCTCTCCTGATCCCCAAGAACCTCCCAAGAAACACATGGCAGCTCCCCAGTTTCATCCAGGAAATATTTCCTGTCTACTATGTGCGAAAGTGGTATAGCGTGCCACTTACCCACCCTGCGTTATATTCATTCCCACAGCAACCCGGTGAGTGTGGTGCGGCCCACATCCCCCCATGTTCCCCCCTTCATTCACTGATTGCATTCATTCCACACATACTGTCTGAGCACCAACTATGTGCCAGGAACTCTACAAAATGCTAGCATTATCCTGTATCCTCACAGAACCTTACGAGGCTGGTAATTACTATTATTTCTGTTTCACTCATTCATTCAACAAATATTTTCTGAGCACCTGCTACGTGCCCAGCACCATGTATATAAATCTGAGCAGACACAATCCCCACCTTCAGGAAGGCGGAAGTGTCCTGGAGTAATAGTAACACCTGCTAACTTCTCTACTAGCTAGCTCTGTTGTAAGTGCTTTACACAAATCATCTCATTTAATGAGACCACCCAAGAAGTAGTTAAAAGCATCATCCTCACTTTGGAGCTAAAGAAACAGACGAGCAGAGGGACCAGAATGACCTTGCCAGGCTCCCCCAGCTAGAAGCAGTGGACACAGACTGGGAGCCCCTAACAGGGTTCAGAAAGAGACATTAATCAAACGGTCCTGTGAGCAAACACAAAACCACAACTGCGATGAGGATCGTCCCCTGAAGTTAGGTCAGTATACCAGTGAGGTCACGGTATCTTAGTGAGATCACAGCAAGAGAGCCAATAAGCGGATGGAGTCTGATCCAGCTGACAAAGGTCAGAGAAGGAGTGCCTGAGCTGGGGTCTGAAAACTGACTAAAGGATAACAAGGAAAGGGGAGGAGCAAGGCAGTCTCAGCAGCGAGAGCATGCGTGCAAAGGTCCTGTGGCAGAAGGGAGAATAACCTACACTGGGAACCAAGAAGGGGCTGAGCAGTCCTCACTGGAGGCCATATAAGGGATTCTGGTCTTCATCCCAAGGGCAAAGGGAAATCATCAACATATTCCAAGCAAGCTCTCAAAGAACCTCTTTCCCAGAGGCACAGAGAGGAGCTCCAACACACACACACACACACACACACACACACACACACACACACATACATGCACCCCCCCCTTCCCCCCCAGGAAAGGGATGTCAACACAGAGCCTCTGAGACCACACACAAGGGCTGACTTTCCACGCTGATACATTCAGGTCTATATTCTGAAATGCACTTTCAGTGAAGGGGTGGGGGTCACCACGCAGTGTTGAGGTCTCTAACAGAGGAGGCCGCTCCGCGTTCCAGCATTTTTCAGAGACGGCCTTGGAGAGCGTTCTACCACAGTGGTTTTCCATCCAGGCTGCAGGTGCTTTAAAAACAACACCGTACCTGGTCCCCACCTCCCAGAGATTCCGATCAAGCTAGTATGGCGTGGGACCAGAGCATCAAGTTTTTGTGTTTGTTTTTTACTCCCAGAGTCTCCTTGGCCAAGTGGCTTGGCAGGAAATGTCCCAGATAAGCCGCGAATGTCTTGTCACACCTGTTACCACGGAAGCTAAAGACACAAAGCCTCAGAAGCAACCAGAAGTGGCTCCCAACTTGCCCAAAAAGGGACGATGTGAGCCGCGGTCAGGATAGTAAGTAGAAGGGACTGTGACGATCACATATGTTTAAAGACACCATCTCACAAGGACACTGAAAAAAAAAAAAAAAAGGGCAACCCCTCGGTGTCGTTTATGAAAAGACACATGTGAACCAAGCCACTATCTGAGAAAACAGAGCAAGGGCAGGAGACAAGGATGTCCCCCACCTTTTCTTTTTTCTTTTTTTTTTTTAAAGATTTTTATTTATTTATTCATGAGAGACAGAGAGAGAGAGAGAGAGGCAGAGGGAGAAGCAGGCTCCCAAGGAGCAGAGAGCCCGATGCGGGACTCGATCCCAGGACCCTGGGATCATGACCTGAGCCGAAGGCAGACGCTTAACCATCTGAGCCACCCAGGCACCCACCCCCCCACCTTTTCTAAATGAACTTCACCACAGGCTGACCAAAGAGATGAGGGGAAGTGTCTTTGCATAGAAATAGTCCAACCAGGGCGCCTGGGTGGCTCAGTGGGTTAAGCGTCCAACTCTTGATTTTGGCTCAGGTCATGATCTCAGGGTCATGAGATCGAGCCCCACATAGGGCTCTGCGCTGGGTGTGGAGCCTGAGATTCTCTCTCTCTCTCCCTCTACCCCTCGGCCCCTCCCCCGCTAAAAAAAAGTCCAGCTAATAAACAAAGAATGAATGACAGAACATTGAGACAATGCGCCATTTTGCAACCACAGTGGATTATTGGAACACTTGGGAGGTACCCAAGGATTATTATGAATGGTTTTAGGCCAGAGGCTGGTGTCACTGTTGTACTGTTTAAAATCCTTATCTTTCAGATATTCTCACTGGGGAGAGTTGG